TAATAAACCACGGTAGTTTGCTTTAATTTTTCCGTTCGTCATTAGAACAAAGAGGGATAGTACGTTAGGTGATTTGTGGTCCAAGAAGAGGTCTTCCAGGCGATTGGATGGCATGGCTCTCAACAGCTGGTCCAGCACATTTGGGAACAGCATGTAGAAAAATGCATCAGTGTTTTGAAGATTACCAACTGTGATGATGCATTGGTTATGACACAATCTAAAAAAGTCACATTTCCTAGCCACAAACTATATAAATGAATGCCTTTATGATCAGGTTACATAAATTCAAGACTAAGATAAGTGAAACTTAGCGAAAGCTAAACTTTCCCACTTACTCCCATTCTTGAGATTAAAAAAACCATAGGGCATTCTTGGATATCTGAGGTTTCTGGTTAAAAGCCAAGAAGTTAAACACACATCTGGTTTCCTAGGATTTGCAAAGTTTATAAAAAGCAGAAGAAAATGCCTACAATAAAAGTGTAAATATCTTCATAAAAATAATGGAATGTAATTAATGATTTTTTTGAGTAAAACAACAATAACTAGATTATTCTACTAAAGAAACTCTCAAATCAATGTGAACTTGGCAGTGATGTTTTTATGTCTTTCAACTGTCTATCCAAACAAAGGAACCTACATAAAATAGATTTCTATTAACTGTGTTTTACAGCTTGAAACTGCTATAGTATTGATGTTAAATTCCCCCCAAATGTCCTGTGTTAAAAGACCTGGTCCCCAAGGAGGTGGTGAAACCTTGAGGAAACAGGGTCTAGCAGGAGATCCTTACATAACTGGGAGTATGAACTTCAAGGCAACTGTGGGATCCTGACCTCTTCTACTTTCTGGCCATAAGGGGAGCAATTTGCTCTGCCATGCACTCTCTACCATTGCCATCCATCATACCTACAAGAGCCCAAATGGGTCCACCTATTCATGGACTGGAGTCACCAAAACAGAGCCAAAATGCATATTTTCTCTTTATGAGTTATTATTTCAGTTATTCATTATAGTGATGGAAAGCTAACACACCCATATTTTATTAAGAAAATTTGAAAACTTAGGAGAAATTTAAAAGAAATTTATCCTTCAATACCAGTGTATGTACCATATAGATCACACAATTAGCTTTTAAATATATTAACCTTATTGCATATTTCCATCTACCCACCCCTTATTTATTCATCAATCCATCTTAATACATTAACCAATAGTCCATTTAGAAAGCAAATTTAAAATTATCTTAATTTTATTATAATTATCTAATAAAGTAAGGGCCAGAAATAGTGATGTTCATCAATTCATCTAACAAACATTTGCTAAGTTCTTTGATTTAGATCAGGCTGAAGATAGAAAGATATATAATAAAATAGCCCAAATATCTGCCCTCCTTGAACTTAAAAGGCAGTGGAAATAACAGATAAAAAATAAATAAATGACTTTCTAAAACATGATATGCATGGGAAGATATGTCAATAGAGACAAGTAAATTTAACAGATATTATTCTGAAACATTGTAATAAGAGCAAGAAGAGTGGTTTATGCTCCACTATATTATTGTCTATAGCAACCTCTCAAAACATATTTGTCAAAATACTGACTGAATGAATAAATTTTAAACTTTGTACCATAGACTTCCTTTAAAATTTTTACATTAAGTAGTAGTTGCAATTAGCCAGATATTATGTCATTTGAATGTATGAATATGCTACAATGAAACCAACTATTCTGTATAATTAATATGGACCCAAATAAACAAATTTTTTGTTAAAAAAATACTTGCACTCTAGAAGAGTAGACTTAGAGGTTAACAAAAAATATATAAAGTCAATTATGTTAACAATTTTTTTAATTTCATATTAAAACATCCTAATTTTTGAATGATGCTATTCTAAACAGTATGTTCACCTTTAACACATTTGCATTTGGATGAAATATAATCAATGAAATTACTTCTTTATAAAGCTGAATACTATCACAAATAAGGCAATGCCAACAAATATTTCAGAGGTGCTTAAATTAGAATATAGAGAAGCTAATATAGACTATCAAAAGCTGGTTTTTTTTTAAATGTAAAAAAAAAGTACTGATGTTTAAGCTCCTTAGCTTTTTGTTCATCTGTTTGTTTAAAGCATTTTCTGTCTGCTTTGGGTTTGTCAGCTTTGGTTAATTCATCAAATAGTTAACAACTGCTCTAAGAGACTAAATCAATTAGGTAACTTTCTAACTGAATTGAAACACTTACCTGATTATTTGATCACTACAATTTGTTATCAGTATAACTAGTATGTAAATAAGTTCTTTATAAACAAAACTGATGACTTTATAAAGTACTTGTATTAAAGAAAAATTGCTCAGATAAATTATTCCCAGACTCAAAATTAACGGCATTGGGAAAATGTGTTTGTGTATACTGGTTTGACAGGAAAAAGGGATATAGTCAAGAAACATTTGGTCCAATAATGTCATTCTGTAAGTTAATCTACACACATAATATTTACTACTGCCAAATACTTGGGGGAGAAAAATGTTTAAAACAATTTAAATATAATCTTTTCCATGCAAATTCAGGTGTAGTATGGTCCCACAGAGTGGTATATGTTGCCTCTAAACTTTTGCTTAGAAAATCTCAGAATTTTAAAACTGAAAAAAAAAAAACATGACCAGGAAAATATGTACCTGCTTCTGATGATTTCTACCTTCCCCTACATAAATTAGATTTATTACCTCTTTCTCTGGCTTTATTCTATTTGATAGGAATTATGATCCAGCTAAAGTAGTGAAATAACAATATTACATTTAATGTTGTTATTTTCTATCTTGTTCTGTTTGATTTCACTAGGAATAAAAGAGCCTCATCCTTGAGCTAATTCAGAAATGTAGTGTATGCCCTAATGTAGAAAACTACCATTTAAGCTGGGCATGGTGGCACATATCTGTAATCCAGAGGCTCTGGAGGCTGAGGCAGAAGGATCACAAGTACAAAGCCAGCTTTAGCAATCTAGCAAGGCTCTAAACAACTTAGCAAGACCCCCGTTTCAAAAAAAAAAAAAACATAAAAAGGGCTGTAGATGTGGCTCAGTGGTTAAGTGCCCCTGGGTTCAACCCCAGTACCAAAAAAAACCAAAAAACTATTCATTGAGTAGATATTCAATAAATTTTAATTATTCACCCTTTACAATTAATCTAAAACTTCAAGTTTACATTTAGGGGCCTTTCACTTTGGCAAAGACAGACTAAAAGAGATTGGATTTAAATTTTGATCTGAAACAATTAGAAAAAAAAAGAAACAAAAATATATTAACAGTTCACATAATTCATAAAATATATAACAATGGCTCATAATGATTTCTAAGAGGTAAGAAACAAATGGTAGGAGTTCTAGTAGATTACTGCCTTGAAGTTTTGAGACCATATCACAGGGCCCTAGGACCCAGGTGGAGCCCAGTGGAAATTCTATGGTGAGGAGACGGAGCTAAGCATTCAAAGAAACTAAGGAAGCTAGACTATGCAGTATATATACTGGAAAGAGAAATGTTACACAGAAACAGACTCTGGAGCTCTTCAGAGGATCCGCAAGTGTTCATTTAAGTTTTGATCAGTGCATTTTGTGTGTGTGTGTGGTGTTGGGGATTGAATCCAGGGCCTTGTGCATGCTAGGCAAGCACTCTACCAACTGAGCTATATCCCCAACCCAGTAAAGAACTTCTTGAGGCTGAATTGCACATAAAAAGATCAGAGAAAACAGCATCCAGTTTTGACGCAGGATTGAGCAGAGTGACTATTCCTACCAGTCTCCAGAGCCTTATTTTTTATCAGCATTGGATAGAGTAAGAAGGAAAATCTTATTTAGACCTACACTGAGTATGGTCTTTGTTCTACCTAACAAATCTTAAAAGACCCAAAGAATCAAACTGTTTCCCTATAACTTACCTACATCTGAGAACAAAGTTCTCAAAGATTTATAGGAATATAAAAGTATCCAGCATCCAGCCAGGTGAAATTACAGTGTTTGGCATTTACAATGGCAGGCATGCAAAGAAGTCATAATGAAGAGATAACTGAAATGGAACTGACACAGATTTTAGAATTAGCAGAAAATGAAATTAAAAAGTTACTCTAACTATATTTCATGTGTTCAAAATTTAAGTACATATTTACAAAACACAAATTGACCTTCTAGTAATGAAAACTATGATGGTGTGAAGTGAAAAATACACCAGATGAATTAACAGCAGATTGGACGTTGGAAAAGAAAAGATTAGTGAACTTGAAGATCTAATAATTAGAAACTCTCTAAAATCAAGCACAGAGAAAAGATAATTATAATGGGTAGAGCTTCCGTGAGCTTGTAGAATAACTCCAATATGTGTCATCTGAGTTCTTAGGGGAGTGAAGAGAGAATAAAACATATTTGAAGAAATAATGGTTAAAATTTCCCAGATTGGATGAAACCTGTAAACCTACAGATTCAAGTGACTCAATGAACACCAAGAGCAGAAAAACAAACAAACAAAAAAACTACACAAAGGTACATCATGATAAAATTGACCAAAATGAAGAAAACCGGAAAGGCAGAGAAAAATACACGTTAGTAACAGCTTTCAATATTAAGACTAATGCTTTCTAGAGGTTCAAAAGTTGGAGAATGCATCTCCAGCACACCTGCACTGAAAGAAATGTTGAAGGTTATTTCACAGGAAGAAAAGAAACAACAGAAATACAGAGGCACAAAAAAGAGTGAAAGCACCGGTATCCTTAATCACACGCATAAACATATAACTTGTTTAAACTTCACACGCTCCAATGACGCAGAAGATGCTGGAGGCGAGGCTTGGGACGCAGGGGCGGGGCAAGAGGGTGCTGCGCCAGTTAGGGGGCAAAGGTCCCCAGAGGCAGCCACGCCTGCGCAGCGTGTGCCTGGCTGGCTGCGCGCCCCTCCCCCAGTGCCGCCCTCTCCTGGGAAACGGTACCAGAGCTGCCAGAGGCGACTGACTGGTGTCATGGCAGCCCCAAAGAAAGGAGCTGTGGGGCCGTTGGTGGGGGCAGTGGTCCAGGGTACCAACTCCACTCGCTTTCTGGTTTTTGATTCAAAAACAGCAGAACTACTTAGTCATCATCAAGTGGAATTGACCCAAGAGTTCCCCAGAGAAGGATGGGTGGAACAAGACCCTAAGGAAATTCTTCAGTCCGTCTATGAGTGTATAGAGAGAACGTGTGAGAAACTTGATGAAGTGAACGTTGATATCGCCAACATAAAAGCGATCGGAGTCAGCAATCAGAGGGAAACCACTGTAATCTGGGACAAGTTAACTGGAGAGCCTCTCTACAATGCTGTGGTGTGGCTTGATCTCAGAACCCAGTCTACCGTCGAGAATCTCAGTAAAAAAATTCCGGGAAATAATAACTTTGTCAAGTCTAAGACTGGCCTTCCACTTAGCACTTACTTCAGTGCAGTGAAACTTCGCTGGATGCTTGACAATGTGAGAAACGTTCAAAAAGCTGTTGAAGAAGGTAGAGCTCTTTTTGGTACCATTGATTCATGGCTTATCTGGAGCATGACAGGAGGAGTTAATGGAGGTGTCCATTGTACAGATGTAACAAATGCAAGTAGGACAATGCTTTTCAACATCCATTCTTTAGAATGGGATAAAGAGCTCTGTGACTTTTTTGAAATTCCAATGAACATTCTTCCAAATGTCTGGAGTTCTTCTGAGATCTATGGCCTAATGAAAAGTGGAGCCTTGGAAGGTGTGCCAATATCTGGGTGTTTGGGGGACCAGTCTGCTGCATTGGTAGGACAGATGTGCTTCCAGGAAGGACAAGCCAAAAACACATATGGAACAGGCTGTTTCTTATTATGTAATACAGGTCGTAAATGTGTATTTTCTGAGCATGGCCTTCTGACAACTGTGGCTTACAAACTAGGCAGAGACAAGCCAGTATGTTATGCATTGGAAGGTTCTGTTGCTATAGCTGGTGCTGTTATTCGTTGGCTAAGAGACAATCTTGGAATTATAGAAACCTCAGAAGAAGTTGAAAAACTTGCTAAAGAAGCAGGTACTTCTTATGGCTGCTACTTTGTCCCAGCCTTTTCAGGGTTATATGCACCTTATTGGGAGCCCAGTGCAAGAGGGATAATCTGTGGTCTCACTCATTTTACCAACAAATATCATATTGCTTTCGCAGCATTAGAAGCTGTTTGTTTCCAAACCCGAGAGATTTTGGATGCCATGAATCGTGATTGTGGAATTCCACTCACTCATTTGCAGGTTGATGGAGCAATGACCAACAACAATATTCTTATGCAACTACAAGCAGATATTCTGCATATTCCAGTAGTAAAATCTTCCATGTCTGAAACAACTGCTTTGGGAGCTGCCATGGCAGCAGGAGCTGCAGAAGGCATAGGCGTTTGGAGTCTTGAACCTGAGAATTTGTCGGCAATCACGATGGAAAGGTTTGAACCACAGATACAGGCTACAGAAAGCGATATTCGTTACGCTACATGGAAGAAAGCTGTGATGAAGTCAATGGGTTGGGTTACAGCTCAGTCTTCTGAAAATGGTGATACTGCTATCTTCTCTAGTCTGCCTTTGGGATTTTTTGTAGTGAGTAGCATGATAATGTTAATTGGGGCAAGATACATCTCAGGTATTCCATAATAGTTCCAACCGTGGATTCCCAAGATGTGAGCTTTTTACATAATGAAAGAATCCAGCAGTTCTGTCTCTTAATGTGATGACATTATTTCTCTGATTTTATTTATAAATCACTTGCTACATGACCTATGAGAACCCTATGTAGACCTGTGGCTTCAAATAAAGAAATCACAGTAGAAAAACACTGTGGAAACATCTGGTGTGTATTTTTTTTTAACATCAGTATTTAAATTTGATTTAACATCCTGCCCCACTCTGTAAAATACAGCATATTTGTATTCTATCCATAAAATTTATCATCAAATATACTCTCTATCATTTATGGACCAGGATTTAGTTATCTGTGCTAACCACACCTGATTAAGAACTATAACTAATCTGCTAAAATGGAGAAGCTTAAATATTATTGTTCTTAATACCCACCCCCCAATTTCTCTTTTCTACCTGTTAGGGAGACCACAACATCTTCACTGAATGTTTAATGGAAAATTTTGCTACATTTTTACAGTGAATTTGTTATTCTCATAGTTTAAATATTTTCCTGAAAAATATTTGCCAAATTGAAATTTGTCAGACATTTTACATGGTCTCACTAATTACATGGAATTACTGTACACATCCTCTAGGAAGAAAGATACTTTTTATCTTTTCATCTTTCCTTTTCATGTATTTCACTTGATTGTGTAATATTCATGTCTAAATATTATAGGGTACCCCAATTATAAATTAAGAGCACATTTTAGCCAGTATGTTATATCAGGAATATCCTAACTAGAGTATTACAGACATAAATATTTTAGGTTCAATAGCTATGTGCATTTTTCAGCAAAATATACGAACATATTAGTTAACAGAAAAGAGCATTTTCTTAAAAAGGTAGTAATAAAATATTAAATATGTTTCAATTCCAGCACAAAATTAAATTTTTAAATTAAAGTATATAGTTATGTTGATACAAAATGTATAATTTCAATAATATTTCTTACACCTTACTTTTTATTTAAATTGTCTTAGCTATATATATGCTAGAAAATGAAATGACTGTGGATTACTGCAATAAACATTATTTTCAAGCAGGAAAAATGACTTCAAATAATATTATATGAGACTTATGCATTTGTAAAAGGAACCAATAATAGCAAGAAAGTTGGAAGAGGAAAAATGGAAGTATAATTTTTGAGATTCATGTACTATATGGAAAACGGTAATAATATCACTTGAAATTACACTGGAAACTAAAGATGCATACTATAAATCCTAAAATAAAATGGAAAGTTATAATTAACAAGCCAGTTAGATATATAAATATTAAAAATATAAAAGTTTTCAATTAATCCTAAAGTAGGTATAAAACAGATGAAAAGGAACAAGAATCAATAGGAAAATAGAAAACAATAGCAGAAAAATGTATTTAAATCTAATAATACCAGGAAGCACATTAAATTTAAATGATCTAATTACCCCAGTTAAAAAGCAAGATTATCAAATTAAAAAAAAAAAAAGACCCAAATATGCTGTCACCTAGAAACACACTGAAATAGGTACAGGGAAAAAAAATAAAAACTGGTTAAAAGTAAAATAGAAAAAATGATACGCCACACTAAAATTAATCTAAAGAAATCTGGAGTGTCTATAGTAATAGAAAAAACTAATTTTAAGTAAAGAATATTAATAAGCCATTTTCAATAATAATTTTATCAAAAGCAATAGATACATATGCACTTAATGGTGGGGCTTCGAGGCACATAAAGCAAAATCTGGTAGAACTGAAAGAAAAGGTAGAATTATCTATAATTACCACAAGAGATCTCAACATCTCTTCCTCAACATTTGATAGAACAAGTAGAGAAGAATTTAGTATAGAAGATTTGAACAATATATCATACAACTTCACTTAATTGACATTCATAGAAGATGTCACTTAGAAATATAATACATCCTCTTTTCAGGTCCATATAAAACAATGACCACCATAAACTATATTCAAGAGATAAACCAACTCTCAAAAAATTTAAAAAGGTTTTTCTATAAAGTATGCTCTCTGAGCACAATGGAATTATAAATCAAAAAAAATTTCTGGAAAATTCCCAAATATTTGGAAACCAAAAAACAAAAATAATGAGTTAAAGAGGAAAAAAGGGGAAAACAAATTATTTGAAATTGAATGAACATGAAAACATACCAAAATTTGTGAGGTATTGTTAAAACAGTAGTTAAGAAAAATTTTATAGACCCAAAGGGCTATATTAGAAAAAAGGAAAGCTCCTAAATCAATGACCTCCACTTCTACCTTGAGAAACTAGAAATATAATAATAGACTAAACTCCAAATAAGTAGAAGTAAGTAGGAAAGATGAGAGCAGTAATCACTAAGATATCCAACAGAAATAGTAGTAAAACTCAAAAAGCTCATTTTTCTAGATATCAAAGCATCTGATGATACTTTTAGCTAAACTTATCAGAAAACAAAGACAAAATTAACAATGTCAGAAATAGGAATGACAGACATCACAGCATGTCCAAAGAATGTTAAAATTAGAATTATAGGGATATTAGGAAAACTTTATGACTATAACATTGACAACTTAGATAAAATGAACAAATTCCCTGAAAAACACAAACTGCCAAAACTCAAGGGGGTGGGGGGGCTTGAATGGTCCTCTTTTAAAGAGATTGAATTTCTAGTTTAAGTTCTCTCCACAAAGAAACCCAGGTAGCTTTAACAGTGGCTTCTTCCAAACAAGTAAAGCAGAACACAAACTCTTCCAGAAAGCTGAAAGGACAGAATATTTTCAAACTCATTCTGTGAGGCCAGGTTTCCAGTATTTTTCTGATTCTAGCACCAGGAATAATTTTTTTAAAAAATGACTTTACAAGAAAAAAAAATAACTTCAGGCCATTGTCTTTGTAAATAGATACAAAAATTCAAAACAAAAATTTAGCAGAATTAACTATATTCAAAGGAATATTATGATCGATGACAATATAAAAAAGAGGACAGTAAATCAATATAATTAGAAAAACCAACCCATTTACTTCACAATATCAACAAACTAGAAAAGAAAAACTGTAAGGGAGGTAACTATTAACCGGAATGTCTAAAATTAAAGACTGACCACATCTAATGTTGATAAGGATATAGAACTGTATCTCTTTTTTGTGGAAATGTTAAATGTTACATTTTGGAAAATAGTTAAACTGTTTGACAGTTTCTTACAAAAAATAATGTATATCTTTTCATATTATCTTGGGTATTTACCCAAGAGGAATGTGAAGTATATCAGTACAAAGACATGTTCATAGCTCTTACAGCCAAAAACTGGACCCAAGTCAAAATTCCATCAACAGCTCAACAAACTATCATATATCTAGTCAATGGAACACTATTCAGCAACAAAAAGAAATGAACTACTGATACTCACTATAACATAGATGAATTTCAAAATAATTAATCTGAATAAAATAAGCCAGAGAAGAAAGAATATATACATAATATATGATTCTATTCATGTAAAATCGAGAAAATGCAAACTATTTAACAATGACAGAAAATAGATTAGTGATTGCTTGGAAACTGAGGGAGGGGCATTGAGGAATGGGCAGGAAGGGGCAGAAGACATGATTATAAAGGGGCACAAAGAAAATCAGGGGGTGATGAATATATTATGATGAAGACTTGGATGAACACATATCTCAAAAGTAATAAAAAATATTTTTCAAAAATTGTCTTCAAACTTTGAATGAATATAAGCAAAGTTTGCTGGAGTAGATTAATTACTGATGTTCTCTATTGTGCATTTGATTCCTCACTGATTCTACAATCATTTAGCATGGGGTGTGCCAGTTCCTATCTCTAGCAGGTCTCCGGGCTGTATTTGAACTCATTTGTGTGATTAGGCTGGAGAAGTTCATGATAATGTCTAGTATCATTTAAAACAAATTAATTTCCCATTTCATTTATCTGGTCATAATTCTCAGTCTGGGACTTATTGCAAATGACCTTATGAAGAGTCACAAACAAATATAAGAAAATCAGGCTATTGTCCTCAAACTAAGAATCCTGTTCTCCTTCGACATACATATTTCTGTGATTATCAGCTTTCCTTTTTTTAATCTTTGCCTTCGTAAGTCTCATTTTCATAATTTAACTCAGATGATATTGTAAATTACAGTACTTTGTCCCAAGGCAATAAAGGAACTTCTGTATATTCTATTATAAAATTAGCTAATTAATAATTTCTCAATTGCCACTAAGCAGAACTACATGGTTAAATTATGATGATGGGGTCTCTTTGCATGCATGTTATGAAACAGCAATTCATCATTTAATGTCAGGCATATGTGTGAGCGAGAGAGAATGAGCTGGAACACTAACCAAGAGAATGAAAAGCATCTAATTCTGATTCTATTTTCCAAGGATGAAATAAAATTTGTGAATTCAAGCAAGTAAGTTGTGGCTGTGTGGGGAAGAGAGATAGGTAAGAAAGAGGAGGGGAGAGAGAGAGAAAGAAAAAGAAAGAGAGACTGAGAATCTTAGAAGGGCAAAAAGAGAAAGGAATGCTAGAGGCATTCAAAGAGAAACTAGATGTACTATTGAATCTAATTAAAGGTATCATGCTGAAGTGAATGATATTAAACAACTACATAATTCCCAGCTTAGTTCTAGGAATGGCAGTCATATACACTAGACCTGCAGAGATAAGCATCTTCCCATCCTGCCTTGCTCAGAGTCCTGAATTATTATCTGTTTGTGCTTGATTTCTGGTGCTTATATTATCATATTAATATAAATGCCATAATCTCCCAGGGAAGCTGTTGTTTCACTAACAGGCTCAATGTATGAGTCTAAATGTTACTTTAAACAACTCCCATTTTAGGTGAAACATTATGCACCAACTCTATGACTATTAGATATGGAAAATTTGCTTTTGTGCCTTTTTAAAATATCATATGAACTAATAAGTTCCCCTTAGTGTAATCTTTCAGCAAAGTCTAGAGTAAATA